GAACAAGACAAGACAAGACACATATGGAGAGGGCCAGCAGGCTGATGACCAACTGGCAAAATTTTATTTTTCTCAGCCAGCTTTATACAAAAGAGGAAGAGACTTAAACATCAAAATCACTCTGACCTAGTTACAACCTTTCTGTTTTCCACCCTGCATTCTTACTGCCAGTGTCCTTGACTAAGTATAAACTTCTCTATACCTTGTCAAACCATGTGCCATTTACACTACTCTTTTCTCTTATCTCTACTTGTATTTTGGTCTCAGATCTACAAATAAAGATATTCAATGCTCATCTTATTGTTTTGCTCAGGTTTCCCCAATTATCTCCTAGGTGGATGACAGTTTTCTTCCTATAACATTTCCTGAGCTCCAGCATAATGAAAACTTTTCTATATCCTTGATACTTAAAGCAGTTTAGCTAGACACAAAATCCATACTATCTTTTAGTTTCTTGAAAATATTGTTCCATTGCTATTTTGCTTTGTTGAGAAGTCTGACAATAATCTGATCTTTCTTTTGTAAGAGATTAGATCTCTTGGCTTACAGAATTTTACTTTACCTTCAAAGTATAGTATTTTGTTAGAATATGTCAGAGTTTATCATTATGGGCCAGTTTTCTAAGCATCAGGGTTGATCCTTTCAAAAGACAGTTTCAGGGACTGGGAATGTAGGTAGAACACTTGCCCAACAAGCACAAGGCATGGGTTTGAGCCCTAGCATGGCAAACAGAGAAATAAAATAAGATAAAGTTTCAGGTCTTTTTTTTTCCTTCAGAAATTTATTTTGAGTAGTTTTAAATTTAACACTGTTCCTTTGTCTTCAAGAGCTCCAATTTTACCCATACTGTCTTTTCTCTGTGTATCTTCGTCTCATTCCTTCTCTTAGTGTGCTTTGCTGTACTATATGTCTAGCCATACCTATTTCCACTTGGATATGTTGTAACTTAGTCTTCCTATCTGTCATGATTCACCTTTTTGTTCATGATTCTGATATGTTCTCTTTTCACATATGCTTGCTACTTTTTCATTTTGAGTCTGCTTTTAAATTTCTAATCTGTAGTGTTCATTCAAATCCACAATTATTTGTTTAATTTATTAAAAAATTTATGTTAGAATGTTGTGTTATAGTTTACTACTTCATGGCCCAAGACAGCTCTTTTCTGTTGGTCAATGATGTTAAATTTCTTTAGCAAGTACTGTATAGGTGCTGAAAGGGGAAAGTGTGTGGGTTTTTTTTTTCTGAATCTTGAACTTACTTTTTGTATCCAATGGCTGCTGTTCAATCTTTTGCTTCCTGCTTGCTCTTTCCTCTTTTACCCACCCAGCCTCCGAGGGACACCACTCCCTTTCAGGCTGGCTTCATCTCTAGCAGAAGTGATATTCTCACTAAGTCCCACTCATGGTCTAAGTACCTTCCTTGTGATTTCCCACCAGCCACTGCTTTGACCACTGAGTCTCAGACCTGTCTGCAGCATCCTACCCTGCATGAGACTACAGGTAGTCTGCTTTAACTACAGTTCCAAGTTCAGTGAGGGCCTGCGGCAGAAGAAAAATATGGAAGATTTTGCAGGAGTAAGATCACAAAGGACTTTCTATGGAAACTCTGTAAAAATTTGAGCAAGGAATTGAGAAATTTATAAAGTAAAAAAGGAAGGAAAAAGGAGCTCATCATCTATACAAATACAGGTGGACAACTGAAAGTAAGAATCATAACTTCTCAAGTGATGAAAAGTGCTCCAAAACAAAAATGAAATTCAGAATTTGGAAAAGTCTCCTAGAGAAATGACACAATTGCATCAACAAGTGAACTGCAAGAAGACAGGAGAGCCCTATACTGTCGCCTGGGAGACAGCCCAGCCAAGTGGTTTCATGAGCCCGAGTCAGGCAGCTGGTGGGCAGAGCTGAGGGAGGGCACATCCACCAGGCCTGTGAGGGCTTTTTTGGGGTGGGTGGTGGTGAGTTACTCTAGGTGGGTGTGAGAAGGGAGGAGTGATAGAGGAGAAAGGGAAGTCAGGAGATAAGAGCATGCAGGAGGGAGGAGCCTGGCCAGACAGGAAGGTGCCTTGGGAGGGCACCTCACACAGTGCAGTGAGTATGGCAGAAACTGCTGGGAAGGCCAGGGTATAGGACAGATATAGATGGGAGGTCTGGGTGGATAGATGGCAGGGTCAAGGTATGGCGTAGGGTGACTGTGGGTCAGAGCTCAAGGAAGAGTGACCAGAGAGTCAGGACTGAGGCAGAGACTAAGAAAGGGTGTTGTTTTCCCCATTCTGCTAATTTAGGTCCTGAGATTAGCTTTCATTCTGTCTTTGAAAAGAGAAAAGGCATAATTTTTAGTGCCACATCCCAGAGTTTGTGTTATCCTGCCTCCTGGGACACAGGGGAGGAGAGATGCTCTCATGCCCTGGAATACAGGCAGCCTACATATCTTCATGGAAAAGCGCAGAGGCAGCCTCAGGATGGTCCTGGACAGGGCAGGAGCCCTCTGAGGGGTTGCTTGGATCAGGGAAGAAGATGCCTGCTGTTGAGGGCACATCCGAATAGGATCTGAAAGTCTGGGGCAGCAGGAGCAACAGGGGTGCCTGGGTGCAGAATTCATCCTACAGGCCCCCGAGTCTGGGACAAGATTCTCTGTTCAAGTTTGGCGTACCGGGGGAGGAGGGCCTCGTAGACCTGGAGGGGCAGAAACGGCAGTTTATAATGCTTCTTTAACAGCAGTTTATAGTGCAACTTAAATTTTTTTTTTCTTTTTTAGGTTTTTCGAGACAATGTCTCACTTATGGTGTACAGCTGGCCTCAAACTCATGATACTTTCACCTCAGCCTTCCAAGTGCTGGGATTACATCACAGGCTAGAGGTGTGGCTCAAGTGGTAAAACAACTCTTTGCAAGTGCAAAGCTCTGAATGCAAACCCTAGTCCCACACACAAAAAAATTAGAATCCCACTTACTTGTAATTTGACTTTTTTCTTGGGCAAAGGAAAGGAAGTATTAATTCACAAAAGAGAAATGCTAAGAGTTCTCAAACTAATAGTTTAAGATTTTTTTTATACTTTCTTTTTATTTATTTTTATTTTACTTTTTTGGGTGGCACTGGAGTTTGAACTCAGGGCCTCACTTTTGCTAGGCAGGTACTCTTACCACTTAAGCCACTCCGCCAGCCCAGTTTAAGATTTTTTAAAACTGTAAATTATGACAAATCAATTTTTGTTATCATTGTCTACAAAAGTTAAAAAATTCTGGTGTAGGGGGAGGGTTAATGAAGGAGATTAAGGTGACAGTACGTGGTAGATGGACTCCATATATATGAAACAGAACTAAGAAACCTCTTGCAACCAGGCGCTGGTGGCTCACACTTGTAATCCTAGCTACTCAGGATGCAGAGATCAGGAGCATCGTGGTTCAAAGCCAGTCTGGGCAAACAGTCGTGAGACTCTATTTCAAGAAATCCCTCACAAAAATAGGGCTGGTAGTGTGGCTCAAGGTGAAGGCCCTGAGATCAAGCCCCAGTACCAGAAAAACAGAAACAAAAAAATACCAAACCTCTTGCAATTGCTTTAAGAGGGGCAGGGAGGGGGTTGAGGGGGAGAGATGATGGGGGCAATGTAAATAATGTACAATATAAGACTAATCAGAATCGTCACTGTGAATTCCCTGCCCATATAACAAATATATCCTAATAAAATTTATACAAAAAATTTGGTGAGGATACTTTAGAATGGCTATCCACTACACAGATGGTGAAAGGTGGTATGGTACAACCCTTTTGGAAGTCAACCTGACTTTGTTCCTATTGGGGTACATAGCCTGCATCCTAGTTCTTCTACTTCTGTGAGGCTCTCCTCCTAAGGAAACAATCCTAAAATGCAGGGCCCAAGTCCCTCAGAGGTCTTCCTAGACACCACTAGACATTCGGACTCGTAAGACTGCTATGGACCACACTGCGGCACTCAGAAGAGTACACGGAGATGAGCATGTTGGTACATGCCTGTAATGCCAGCACTTACGAGGCTGGAGCAGGTAGATGGTGAGTTTGAGATCAGCCTAGGCTACATAATGAGTTCCAGGCCAGCCTGGGCCACACAGGGAGTCCCTGTCTCAAACAACAACAACAAAATAAGAAGAGTAGACTGCAGAAATCTCTGCCCACACTATTCTTTAATGGGAGACAACAGAACAGCTTCCTCCCCCTTTCCTTCCACATTATAGCTCAGGTATCCTCTGATTCCTGCCTGTGAACATGGTTGTGTGAAAACATGGTACTTAGAGCAGTTGCAAACATCCTGCAACTAACCATACACAGCACATCTAGAGCTGCACCATCCAGTAAAGCAGCCACAAGCCATGTGCACCTTTGCATACTTGAAACATGCCTAGAGCTGTGGGTGTAAAATGCACACCGGCCAAGCACCAATGGCTCATACCTGTCATCTTAGCTACTTGGGAGGCAGAGATCGGGGAGGACTACAGTTAGAGGCCAGCCCAGGCAAAAAGTTTGTAAGACCCCATCTCAAACAATGGCTCGGTGATGTGGTACATGCCTGTCATCCCCAGTTATGCAGGGAAGCACAAATAGGAGAATCATGGTCCAGGATAGCCCAGGCATAACGTGAGACCCTATCTCAAAAATAACCAACAGGAAATGGGCTTGGTGGAGTGGCTCAAGTGGTACAGCACCTGCCTAGCAAGCATGAGGCCTCAAGTTCAACCCTCAGAACCACCAAAAAAAAAAAGGAAAAGAACACCAAATTTCAAAAGCTTTAAGCAAAAAAAAAAAAAAAAAAA